AAGTGCGGCAGTGACATACAGATGTAGTGTAAACGTGAAAAGGTGAGCTCACCGTTAAAGCCGCCACCACCGACACACACCTGTTTGACCACACCTCTGTGTCCGCACCTACAGGCTTAGCTTACATAAAAACAGTGTAGCAGCTACTGAAAGCACAGGAACGAAGCCCATGTAATAATCTGAAAGCACAGGAACGAAGCCCATGTATATACATTACAGCCACGAGTAAGGAATAAATGTAAGGCTGACTAAAAGAGAGCCATTTTCACCGTGTGTTAGCCACTTACAGTAGGATAATCCATTTATTTTTAATGGCTCAAACATTGAATACACCGAACTAAAGTAAAACTACAGGTTAAACGTTACCCTGAGAAGGGCACACCAACATCCTCGGTCCAATATCAGTCAAAATAAACCAGTTCTGCAACGTAACTCACACAGTTTGTTCCGGTTTCAGCGTATTTTCCGCGACCGTCCTTCCTCGTCTCACCTCAATAAAGGAAACCTTCACTATTACTTCGCTGTTGCGGCCGGTAGTTTCCTCATCCAGCCATTAGGGAGTGCATGCGGCTTCTGCTCGGCGGTATTTGAGCCCATCCCCCATCCGCACAAGCTGTAGACACATTACAAGAAGTTGGAAGTTTTCTGCCTTCTCTTTCAATGCTTTCAAACTTTCCTCTTGGGTCGAAGTGGAGAGGTACAACCCGTACATTCCGCTTAGTCTCGTCTTTCCATCGCTGTCTTGGTTTGTGTCCACGAACAGCAGCTGCTCACGAGGACTCCGCTTCCGAACAGGGAAGGACGGCAGCGGTTTGTCTGCCCGCCTTGCAGTCGGCTCAACACTTCAGGCTTGCCAGCACAAGGGCCGCCCCTGAACCTGAATACCTCTTACGGCGGGCCTATCGGGAGCGTGCACCCACCGTGTCACACCAGGTAGATCTGACGTTTCATTGCGACATTAAAGGAGAAGTATGTCCAGATGCTTTGTTTTTCTGGCTGTATTCACATCTCATAACAATCGCATTCCCAAATCAACACTGAAATGATCTTAATAACAACTAATGTGTGTGTCTCTAAAGTCCATTTTGTCCAAATATGATTAAAAACACATTAAAGATACTGAACTTCTTTTCAGGTCTGACTCTAAGCGTCAGCCTGCCCCCCCCCCCTTTAGGATAAGTGGTATAGATAATGGATGGATGGAATTTCTTTTCAGTCGGTAGAGGGTCTAGTGAGACTCAAAACATACTGATTGTGTCTGAAATCACTCTGGATTCACTCATTCACTGCTCCCTATATTATTGTGCATACAGTAGTTCACTCCGTAGTTACCATTAAATTGAGATTTTGCACTTTGTAAAGAATATTTCCTGTTATAAAGTTATAGTCTTCAAACCCACACCTAGATAACCCAGATGACATATCAAGGTAGTTTTCTGAGTCTTTAGAAAGTTCCCTCCTGAGCCAGAGAAGGCATTGTCAAAACTTTTGCCCTCTGATTTTGATGTAAAACCAACACAATGCCTTTAATTTGCCTTAAGAACAAGACTGGATTATCATGTGATTACCTTCAGGCCTGTATTGAGCAATGATGGTGACAGTTTGTCCAGCTCTCTTCAGCGCTGCAGCTGCCTGCTCATGTGTGGCATTCCTTAGGTTCACCCCATTCACCTGCAACAAACCACATAGACAGAAACAACTCAGATTAGATCCCACAGGTGTGTCACTTGTCTAATTCTTATAATCTATAAAAGAAACAAGTCTGGTGGGCTGAAGCAAAGCCTATCCTCAGGTTGGATAGGTTTGTTTCAGCCTGTGGAGGTAAGATCTGCCTTCATCATGTGAAAGCTTTAGCTCAGTGTTGACATCATGTGGCATGAAAACATTTATGTGTATCTTCATATGTACTGTGTTCACAGTACAGGCCACATTAAAACAAAACAGGCATATATTAAGAGCAACACTTGGTTCCGAAAAGGTTAAGAGTTATGAAATCTGAGTCAAGGGATTTAAATACCTAATTTTTTTTATTCACAAATCATCTTATCTGGCAGAGCACAGCTAAGCCCCCCTGAGTTGTTATGGATTTACTGTCTTGCTCAAGGACATTTCAGCAGGGCAGATGTTTACTGGCTTTCTAAACACCAGGCCACTTAAATTCCAGCGTCATTATTCTGACAGCAGGAGGTGGCTGAAAATCTTCCAGCGATGTCTCAAATTTGTTACAGTTGTTGATGTGGGTAAACGGGACGCCTGAGGTTGAGATACTGACAGAGAGAATCCGGTCGCCCCTCCTCAGCTCGCCGCTCAGGTCAGCTGGTCCTCCTGCCAGGATGAAGGAGACAAAGATGCCTTCTCCATCTTCCCCGCCGACTATGTTGAAGCCCAGCCCTGTGGAGCCCTTGTGCAGCAACACCTTCCTTGGCTCTCTGCCAAACAGAGTGACAGTGTCAGGGTTAAGGGCAGGACAGGGAGCTTAGAAGAGATGGGCAGAGAGAGGGATATAACCAAAATAAACAGAAAATAAACAGAGGGGTACAAAGAAGCTTTCAAACAACAGCCATCTTCTACCGGTTTGCACTGTGTATGATCCCAACATGATGAATGCATTCAGTTGAAAGAAACAGGTCTTTTTTATAGACCCACTCTGTATATATTTGAACGCTAGTGCTTTAAATAGAACTTTTAAATGATTAATCTACAGGGTATTCAGCAGCAGAAACAATGATTAACCAAGAAATAATCATGCACTAATCACGTAATTTGAGCTACACTGAAAACACTTGGATAGCACTGCTCACTCATTTCTGTGTGAACGATAACACAAGCAGCAGCAGCATGACGGCATCCAACTGCCTGCTATGTATTGGCTATAGAGCCTTCTGCTTATGCATGGTAATCTCATGGAAATGTACACACGTGTACACCACACTTAAACACCCACTCACATCAATGTGCACAGACACAATGAACCACCTCCTGTTCGACTGATCCGCTGAAGCTCTGCTTTAGCTTCAGCCACTATGACTCATCCTTCCAGCAGGCTATTCAGACTGCCTCAGGTTTAAGATGCTACAGAGGCCAAACCACTGCTATGCTCTGGCAGAAACCCTCTGAGAACACACTTCACACTAGTGCAAACATACACAGCGCTACAGTGGACACTCTCTCTCTCACACAAACACACACACACACACACACACACACACACCACACACATGTATACTATATATACAAATGCGCATAGAGACACATGTCAATAGACACAGTTTCCTTTCTTAGCAGAAACACTGTATGGTTCCTATTAGTGGTCTTGTCTCGCAGTACTCCGTCTGCGGTCTACAGGAACGATTCCTACTCAGTCCCCAGTGGCTGCTCTCTGTCTTGCTGTTAAGGACATTTTCCCATTCACAGTAGCCATTGCAGCATTCCAGACGTTCAGAATCATATCCATTACTGACTGGAAAAAGTGTTAATTATTCCACCAGAAGAGATGAAGAGTAACAGAAAAGCACCTGCAGAAATTCTTTCGATTGCTGTATTTTATTAGAAATTAATTGAACTTACTCAACTTTTTTTGTAAAACCACAAAATAAATTAGAACAATAGCAGCATAGTGAGTCTGCAGGATTCCTTAGACCCCAAATTGCATCAAAGATTCCAGTAGAATCAGGGGCAGCTTCTTTTAGATTTTTTTTAGTACAAGAAAAAAAAACAATAAAAATGGCAAGTGTCAGTTGCCTTTAAATACACTAAAACAAGTAGCTCGTCTTCAAACTGGTCATGTTTAAAATAAACTCAATATTCAACTTGAGCTTTACACTCCAGCTCGACAAGGCACACAGATTTTCATGGTTACCTTAGGATCCACAGCTTGCTTCTGAAAGAGCATTTCCTAACTGTGTGTTCAGGCAGCCGCCTCACCAGCGACATGGAGGATGAGATGTTGACCGTGAACATGGTGGCTATGGCACATCGCTCGGCTCAGTGTTCTCTCCTCGACCCCTCTTCCTATCTGGCATTCCACTGAGAGAAGGGCTACAATTTTAGAAGCTGATGTTTCCTACTTCACCCTTGTGTGCTCTGATGCGAAACAGCTCCCCTTCGGGCTGTCACAAACACTCTCTCCCCATTATCACCAGCAAGCAAGACTTAACCCTAACACTCTAGTGCATTCTTGAGGAAGAGGCCAGTATCTCCCCTCACATCCGGGATAAGCAGGATTGCATTACATCAAGAGCATCAGGATTTAGATGTATCAGATTAAAGGTTTTCCGAGTTCGATGCCCTTTGACATGGTGCTGCTCCCTCATCCCTGCTCTGATGCTTCACTTGGTCCAACCCCTTTCTAGTTCAACACACCAGCATTCCTGTCTGTCAGCCTGCCCCTTGGAGACTATGCAGACTGATTCCCAGAAGCTCCTTGCTAATTTGTCAAGAGTGTAAACAAACTGAGGAGCTCATGAACTGACTTTCATGACTTTCAAGCCCCTGATCTGATACCCCCATAGTCTGTGACCTGGCTGTTCACTAGACAGCAAATTAGTTTTTTCTTGCTAGAAAGTTATGTGCACACTACTGTGGACTGTTTGAACACTTAGGGCCATTGTTTTATCTTACAGTTGATGCTGCTTTCAAAGGAAGGATAAGCACATGTGTTTCTACATGCACCATTTGTCCATAGCATATGAATCACCAGGCTGTTTTCAAGGAAAATGGGAGTGAGTTCCTACATTTTTAAATGCAGTAATCAGGTCCTCCCTAGCCTATCACAAGACCTGCCTCCCCTCCCCCTTTGCCTTTTCTCCATGCCAGGAATGTAAACATTTATAGAGCGGTAAAAATGCTTTTTCTCTGCACAGTCATTTCTCCTGTGACTCTTTTCACTAATTCAGAACCGAGCACCCTCCCATCGCTTTATTTTTGCTTAAGTATTTTGGCTGAGGAAGCTGAGGCTCAATCCTAA